GTAGTGGATGAGTTATGTTAATAAGGAGATGAATTGTTGTGGTTCATGTTTTGTATTTCTAGATGCTCAAGTGTTCGTCACTTTGTCCATATTTTTCCTACCCTAACCAAAGAGCCTACATTACAACCAAATAAAAAGTCCTTTTTGATTCATGAAATGCATGCACTATAAGTGGTGGAGATAGTAGACGATTTGCAAGCTTATGGTAATTCTTTGACATTGAATTGATTTGAGCGATTATTTCCATATACACTTTCGAGAGTGAGAGTATACACTTATCCGGTGAGGTAAAGTATTGACCATGATCTTGATGAAGCATTCTTTTTGTTTAAAGATTTCGGAATTTAGTAAGTTATTTGTCTGATGACTATTGATGATGTGTATGATCTACTTTGATAGTTGTGATTGTTTTCCTTTGTATGTTGAGAGAATGAGATGCATTGATCGGGACTATCAATGGTTTAAGTTTGGGGGTTTGTTCATGTGTGATTTTACACCAGATTCATATAGTATCTAGAGCTTATTTGTCGCATTATTGGTGTATAAATTGCATTATTGTGCTTAATTATATATTTGTTGGAAAGGTATTACACGTGCTTGTTTTGTAGATATTTTCACATATTTGTAGAGCTTTGGCTATTGGAGGAGCATGGGATGATGATAGATCAATGCACGGATGAATAGAATAGAAGAAACGAGCGAAATGAGCCTAAGATGAGCGTACAGTGGTGTGACACGACCCGTGACACGGGCTCCAAGGTCGTGTCACGATCCATGTCGTCCAACAGAAGTGTGAAAGAGCAACACATGTGACACGACCCGTGACACGGGCGTGTCTGGTCGTGTCGCGTACGCGGGCAGTTTTTAATCCCTTGCCTTGTTAGACAAGGAGAAGAGTTTTGGACATAAAAAAAAAGGCATATTAACCTTATTCTGAAGAAAAAAAAAGGAGAGGATGTGAATACGCAAGGAGTAGAGCCCTAGAACACACAAGAGAAGCAATTGAGGAGAAAAAGGAAGATCAACTACGAAGGAATCAAGAAGATTGAAAGATCGACGAGATTCCTAGTTTTCATTTCTTATTTCCTCTTGAACTTTTATAGATCATGTCGATTTCTAATATGTCTATGTGTTTCAATTTTAACATGACTAGCTAGATTTATTGATTCTAAGACATGGTAGTAGATTAATATGTTGGGATTTTGGATGATTTATTTATAATTAATTGTTTTTTTTTAACACTATTCAAGTATTTTGTTCTTATTCCATGTTTAGAACTTGATCAATTCTTTTACTTGTTCGACAATATTGTTCATAATTCGAGAGATGAGTTCAATATTAGGTCTTTAATATTTGACATAATTTACTTGATTGAATCGAGAGATTAGTAGGTAATTGTGAGGATTTTAGATCTTTTCCTATTTGGAGTTGAATTGCATGTGTTGAGTGGAGACGCTAATATATGTGATTTAATCTACGGTTTTATCGATCTCGAGAGGGTCGATAAGCTAAATGTGTGATCGTCTTATAGGGTAGATAAAGAAAACATTTAGTTGTGATATTTTTTAAGGAATCCTAACTTTTAATTGAACCCAACGTCTTAGAATCTATCGTTCCCATATATTTTCTCACGTGTTGATCTAGCTAGTTCTTTATTTTTGCTTTATTTCCTTTCATTTATTTTCTTAGTTTAGTTAATCAATCTCAATTACGATCGTCTAAATAAAGTTAACACTATCATAATCTTGTACTTGATATATTAATTATTTGGTCTCTTGGGATACGACCTTGCTTGCCACATACTGCGAGCGAAACCGTACACTTGCGGTCGAGCCTTAAAAATATAGGCGAACACAAATGCTCCATATTTTGAGATAGTTGTTTGTTCTTAGTATTTTTAGCACTGAATGTTTCAGCTCTTGACATTATACCCTTTTAAATAGAAATTGAATTGGTTGCTTCAAAACAATATTAGATGTTTGAAAATTATTATTCACACGAAATGATCGAAGTTTTATTCGATTTAAGTGTTTGTAAATTTAGGTGTTTGTAGCAATGGTAGATTCATCACAAGGAAATAAAAAAGTTCAGAGATACGAAATATGGACATCTGAAGAGAGTAATGAATTGCTTAGACTCATGGTTGATGCAGCCAATCGCGGATGGCGTGATAAGTCTGGAAATTTAAGTAAGTAATTGTAGAGAAACATACATTGTATCCTCTTAATGCAAAGCTTGGAACTGAGAAGACATATTCTTAATATAAAAGTCGTGTAAAATGGTTTAAGAAGCAATACGATAAATATGCCAAGCTTACGCGACATAACTCGGGCTTTGGCTGGGATGACGTGTCCAAGAAATTAACTGCTGATGATCATGTGTGGGACGACTACTTTAGAGTAAGCATGTTTTATTGATAGTACTTGATATGATTAAAATATTTCATACATCGCTTAGATGATTTTTTTTTTCTTTTACTAGTCTCATCCTGGGATACGAGTTACAAGACAGACACATTTTATGATTATGAAGATCTGAGAATTGTTGTTGGATGTGGAACTGCTACTGGCACAAGCTCAGTTGCAATAGGCGGTGATGTTGAAGAAACGACTTTTGAGACGGAAGAAAGAATGGAAAATATTAATTCCATAGATGACCCGATGCATGCTCCAGATTCAGAGGTGTTCGTTAACACTAATAACCCTCTTGACCATAATGCAATTATCTCCGATGCACTCTCCACCATTCGCTCAACACAAAAGTTCAGAAAAACGACCATCAGTTCGAAAGCGAAACCGAACTAATTTTGAAGCAAAGCTCAAAAGCACTACATCTGACCCTGACAACCTCACAGAAACTGTTAACAAGATTGTCTGTGCTGTTGTGTCTATCGACACTAATGTCACGATCGCTCTTCTACTACTAAATATTCTTATATTTTGGATATTTACTTAAAATTAATTATAAACATAATATGGATATTATTATTAATACATACTGAAAAGGATTCAAACACTGTCTATGAAACTTTTATACATCGGAGTTTATTGAAAGAAAATTTAAACATAGCGTAAGTTCACTCGCTGGCCCAACGGGTCTTCATCCATGTACACATCCCCAAAGCTCTCGGATCCAACAGTTCGGTCATGTCAATCATCAGATATCAACAAGATCACCTACAATGCATAAACTATATGAGCTCTGGCTCAATAAGTAAAAGTCATGCATGTCAAGAAATAACATCATCAACTGATATGCACTATAACATGAAATGCAAATGCTCGTGTTGTGAAAACATTTCTTTCTGAAAAACATTTTTTTCTCTGGGCCCTTTGACCTCACTACTAGGCACTGGAAATGAGCACAATATCATCAATAATTATAACATTCCAGTCCTGGTCGTCTCCCACGCCTTAAAGCAATGGCTCACAGGGCACTGGAATGACTCAGTCCTTACGTCTCACATGCCTTAAAGAAATGTCTCAAGGGGAACTGAGCATAACATAATAATAAGTCAAGTCCTTACGTCTCACACGCCCTTATGCAATGTCTCACGGGGCACTTGACCTCGGTGCGTAGCAGCGGCCAATTAATTAACAAAATACTTTTTCTTTTCCCATTATGTCGTGCATGCGAGATATTTTATCTGACTGTAAGATATGCATGCACGTGAATATGAAATGTATGCTATTTTCAGTGATATCAATATATATCAACATTTATTCACATAAAAACATTTTTCACAAAGCACATAAATCTCACATAATAGAGTAGATCAATACTCTGTTTATGCATTGTAGTTGCAATTGGACTTGTACTTACCTCGAGTCCTTAGTTTATAGCCTTGTAAACATGGATATCGACTCGTATGTCTAATTTGATCTAATCATAACAAAATATGTTCATTAATTTATAATTTAAAATTATTAACATATCATAAGAATTATAAATGAATTAATTACTTCTTAGATTTAATACCGTGCATAATACTTTGTTCCTTAATCATAATTTTAGACTCAAAATCATAATTAACTAATTCTTACAAACCTACAATTTATATAAAATAGATATTAGATATTTGTGAAATTCTTGTTGCTGTAGAAAGACCATGATCTTTACTATAAATTTTATGAAGACAGATAAATTAAAAGAACACCTTTTGAAGGTAAAAATAAAAGAAAACAAAACGGGTTGCTCATAACTACAAATATCCATATATATGACTTATTACCTATCTTCGACACTTCAAAATAAAAATACGATGATCCTAGGAACAAGAGCTTTAATATTATAAAGTTTAGATAATTGTTTATGGCCCCGTTCATGTTCTTCAAACACCGATTCTTAAAATTATTAATATATTTAAAATCTATAAGTTTATACAAACAATTTGACATATAACTCTTAAGCTAATATCATTACCATAATTAAATACATAATAAAGTAGGAAACATACCTTTAATATTCTTCTCTTTTGAATGAAAATGTATACCTTGTTAAATGTTAAAATGGTCCGTATTTATAGAATTTTACATTCATTACCTTTATCTAAATTATATCTATCGCTAAATCAATACTTATCCTTACTGATAAGTTTGTTAACCATTGTTTTGTCTGTAACATAGTTAGATAACTTTCAGTATTTTTAAATAATAAGGTTAAGTTTATCACGTTCACATAGATATGATTCATTTTGAATATAATACCCAAGCAACACGTGTATGTTTATGCATCTTATATTTATATGAATACTAGATGGGTTTACGTCGTGCATGCACGACGGTCTAACACCCGGTGTAAAACTATTGTGAAAATTTGTCATAAGACAATGGGTGTCAACGAACCCACTGATATTTTCCCTCCAATTGTCTCCACGAGTTCAATCCAAAGTATGTTCCTACCCGACGTTTGGGCGTGGATGTTCCTGTTCGGACATCTTGTTTGGGCTACTGGATTTGAACATCAAAAAGGACGGAGAGGTCAATGTAATCTTTAGAAGTTCAGACGTCCCTCACTATATCATAGTTGTACCTGAAAATAAAACAATACCCACATTCAACAAAATCATTACTCTTTTGCACCTTTCAGTTATGCGAATAATCAATTGGGCTACGATAAAATGAGTCGGGCCTGCATTTTTTCGCGTTCAGAGCCTTACTGTGCTCATTGTGAGAACATATGCAAATATATTTTGTATGTATTGTATATGGGGAGCTTCTGAAATTTGACGTGATGCTTACTTTTCGAGGAACCGTTTCTGGTTGTGATTTTCTACCGCCGCAAACACCATCTCGAGCTCCGCCGGCGGCTGCGAGTACGTGTCGATGTTCCGGCAAGAGATTGATGGAGACAAAAGATTCTTGCTTTTGGGCATGGAGACTGATTGGAGTGACACTTGCTCTGAGTCGCCGTAATACTTGCTCATCGGACTCGCCACTCTACTGGAAAAGAAGAAGACAAAGAGGAAACAGTGAAGCTGCTCATGGACAAACAATATTTTTTTTATTTTTTTATTTTTTAGCTGAAAATCAAGAAAAATTACAAACAGATTGTCCAATTCTGAAACGCGAGATCGTATGAATACAGAAACTCGAACTGCTTTAATGGTGA